AGTAAGTAGATTATGCTATTATGTCTCCATAGTATGAAGCATGATTCTTAAGCATGAAAGTATGAGATTTAAGCATGAATTTTCATAAATTAGATATGAATGAAGTATGGATTAGGGCTTGAAGTTAGGTTGTGTTCTGCTTTTCCAGTAATTAGGTCTTGTTTGTATGATAAGTTGGGCACTATTATCACTCTTGTGGATTTTGAAATTCTGTGAATGATGTTTGTGTGAGTCTAGTTTAAGATATAAAAGGTTTCATGTTGTTATCTTGTATGGATTTGAAGTTATGGAGTAGTCTTTGGAATGTGTCATGATTGTACTGTGATTTTCCAAGGAATTTACATACTTTTGTAATGAGACTTTGACTAAGCAAATGATATCCAATTGGCTTCAAATCAACCATGTGAACGGTCTATGAGTCTACTTTGAGTTTGATGTTTATGACTAGCTGAGATTCTTGATGGTTTGGAAGATATGATTCGTTTTGTGCATATATGTCGCTGTTAGCAAATTTTACTGGATTTCACAGCTGTTACCCCTGTTGTCACAAGTTTTGACTAACTAAAAGAAGTCCGGATGCTCCCAAACCATGGCCATTAGAAAGATCTGTATGTATGCTTTAAGTTGCATGTTGGAATTATCTTGATATTCCCTCTAGATTGAGAGTTATGCTTTTGTTAAGAGGGACATGTCACTATTAGTAAAATACAGAAAAACCCCTGAACTGATGTGTATGATGTACCCAAATGTGGACTAATCAAACGGCTCTCAATTGACTCCATACCACTTTTGGATGAGAGATAGTTGTGTTTACTTCAATTGTCATGTTGTGACCAAGTTGTGATTCCTTATAAACCAGGTGCTATGCCTATTTTTTGTGAACCTGTCACACCTAGAATAGGGAATATCATGAAACTGTGAATACTCTAAATTAGTTAATATCATGACACTATGAATGCTCAAAGAATGCTTGTGAGATGAGATATGCCACGATGTGATATGAAGCACTAAGCAATGGATCACTATTGGTTGTGTGACGATGTGATATGATATGTTTGTGATAAGTGATTTATTGGCATATTTTGAGTGTATTGCACGACTGACTGTTAACATGACGATATCTCTGGTGATCTGGGGTTTCTCGGCATGCTTTGGACATATTGCATTGACTGGAATATGTGACTTCTGAGTGCGAAAATGCCCAAGGGAAAAAAGTAATTTTTTAAGATAGAAATGCCCTTCCCGTACACAAAAAATCATTTTAGCCAGATTTAACATTGACTTTTGGACTTCAGTAGCACATTGCCGGAGCATACCATCACATTGCTAGAGCACACAAGTGTTGGACCACGCTAAGACAACTACCGAATTGAAATTGAGTACTGTCGGGCCACTGTTTATATAATGCCGAAGCCCTAGAATCTAGTAACATCTACTATCGAATCTCCCTTTGTAACTGCCAAACCGCACTTTACACACTGCCGGATCGCACTTTACATAGTGCCGGAGCGCTATTGTAGGACCGCACTTTGCACACTATCGGATCACACTTTACACAGTGCTGGAGCCCTATTATCAAAGCGCACTTTATACAATGTTGAAGCCCTACTACCAGACCACACTTACATAGTGCTGGAGAGCCCCTATTTTTGTGAGATAGAGGAGAGAGAGGCGTGGGTAAGGTAAAAGTAAGGGAGGGTAGTTTAGGCATTTTGTATTTTTATTTTTGGTTGCAGGGTATTTGGAAAAAAAATTGAGAAAAAAAGTTAGGGTAGGGGTAAGTTGCATAGATAGTGTAGTTTTGGGGTTTTTTTGCAATTTTCCTATAAAAATATAGGAAAAGTCTCCGGCCTAAGTGAAAGGGCCTTTGAACGACTCAAATTAAACATAGCCATATCTAACGGCCACAAAAGAATTTTGTATTTTTTATTATTTATTCAAAAATAATATTTATATGAATTTGGGTTATAGATGCATTTTCATATGGAAACCAAATAAAAGTAATAAAGAATATTTTGAATAAAAAATTAATCAAAATATCTATTAAATTTTTCAAGAGTATTTTAATCAATTTTTATGTACCATTTAGTAATACCTCTATACTCTGTTTTTTAAAAATATTATTTTAAATAAAATAAAAATGAAATACGAAACTCTCTTTTGACAGTTGGGTTTGAACCATTGATGGGTGGACAGCGTCCACATCATGTGGAAGCTATACCATCCCTAAAAATATGCATCAAAATTTTACAACAAATAGAAAGTATACATCATAACCAACTTAGGTGTGGCTTTTGCATGAGTAGTAAGACAAGGATAAAATTCAGAATGAATACATATGAGAGAACTTAAATATGACTTCAATATAAAATAAGATGAGAGAAAGTAGACTTAGGTGGGCATGTGCAATTTAGATCTAATACAGCACTGATTAGGAGGTGAGATTCTAAAAAGCCAAAAAGAAAGCCCAAAAGGATATAGATAAACATAATGAGATAAGATATGGTGAATTTTTAGTCTTATTAAAGGGTATGGTCTTTGATAGAGAAAAATGGAGGAACAAATATTCATGTAGTCAACCCCAAATAATTAGGATAAAGTTTGGATGATGATGACGATACATCAAAACCAATTTCAATCTTAATTTAAATAAATATAAAAAAATTATATTTCAAAAATTTGAAACAAAAATGGAAAAAAACGAAAGAAAGAAGAAAACAAAAAAAAAGGTTACACGGATAAGGACTTCAATGTACTCTACAACATTGGAACGGAGTACTTTGTACTACATGTGTCGTTAAAGAATGATCTTAAATTGTCATTTTAATAAACATTTTGGTAATGTGTTTATATGAAAACATAAAATAAAAAGAAGAACATAAATAAAGTAAATTAAAAGTCTCATGCTCTGTACAAAATATACTAGGTAGAAATCTACATAAGTCTTGTTATTTCCAGCATATAAGAAATTAGTTTTTTTTTTGGGATTCTATATAATGAAACCATTTACTTTGATATAAAGAGGTTACAATTACTACAACCATCTGAAGTGAAATCTGATAACTTGATTGTGTCACAAAGTTTGAGAAATTTGTATTTGAAGTTTGATCTTGGTCAATAGAATAAGTGTAGCCATCTAATTTCACATCTAATGGTCAAGATTAATTGCGACCACCTTATACCAAAGATAAATAATCTCATTTTATATTTTTCCTTTTTTAAAGCCTATGTTGCCCCCAATAAAAATTTACGATAAAAGAAGAGTTCACAATAAAAATCAATGGAAATTTTTAAAGAATTGAAAAGCACAGATCTTTGCAAATTTTAGTTTTAATTGCAACAAAATAGTGGATAAAAAATCATAATTTATCAAGCACACGATTATCCACCATAAATTACAAAAGTAACTTTACAAATGTAATGTTAGAAAAATAAAAATATTAGATATAATTCCCAATAAAAATATATGAAATTTTTTTCGCTAAAACAACATAGCGTGCATGCCTATTAACCCACTTCAATTAACATTTAAAAAAAAAGAACAATAACATGCATATTTTCATTGAATAACTATCATAATTATCCATAAAAAATAAAAAACTTAATCAAGGGAATAGTAAAGAATTTGAAAGTAGAGATAACATACCTCTTTCCCCACACCAATCTACATTGCAACCAAGAAGTCAAAAAGCTGCATATTTCATAGAACACCTATCATAATTATACATAAAAAAAATAGGAAAAATTTATATAAGGTTGCAACTTTATAGTATTCAAGTGTACCTCAAAACTCCAATAGAAAAGAGTATTCCAAAACTAGAAAACCTTCCAATACATCATCTCGACTTCGAGATTTATAGATATAAAGACAAAAAAGAATTTCAACTCCAAAAAAGTTATTTGGACCATCTATTTTCAAGATTTTCAAGTGCTTTATATATATGCTTGATCTGCACCATTTGTGAAATTTTAAATTTCATAATTAGGGTTGCATAAGGGTTTTCAAACGATTGTACGATTTCTATCACCAGAACTACTGGTGAAATTTAGAGGTACAGCCTTATTAGTATAGTACATGATTGAGCCTTTGGAGTTATTTCTTTGGGATATTAGGACTAATTACAGCTATTCCTCAAAGTGTCTTGGGCATAATTTCACAGCTGATCCTTTTGGGAGTACCAAAATGGGGAGCATGGATCTGGCAAATAGTGAAAAGAGCTGTATACTAGGAGATTTGGGAAGAACGGAATAGACGTGGTTTTGAGAGAATTGGTCTATCCTATGATAGCGTGCTGCAACGTATTTTACATACAAGTTGGTGCTGGTTGTCAGTCACATAGGAAGGGAGAGGCATTAGTGAGTTTGATGTGCGAATTAACTTAGCCTATTTGACGTCTTTTAAGAGGCTAAAGGCTAGACCAGGTGGTCGTAGGTTACCTCCGCAACAAGGGTGGCTAAAGTTAAATTTTGATGGTAACTCTATTGGTAACCCAAGGGGTGCAAGGATAGGAGGGGTGGTACGACTGGACTGATTCTATTGTTTGTGCCTATGCCGGACCTATCGGTATTGCCACAGTCAACCTCGCTGAGTTTAGTGCCTTACTCAAAGGATTACTTCTTATAAAAAGCTTGAACTTGGGTATGCCCATTGTTGTCGAGGGTGACTCCCAAAATGTGATTAGCTTGTGCAATAGGTCCAACGTGTTTTTTGGCTGTTGCATTCGATTTGGATCCAAGTGGTGAAACTGGAAGAGGAGGTATCTTTATCATTCCATTATGTTTACAGAGAATTAAATAGTCTTGCGGATGGTTTGGCGAAGAGAGGAGTGATTTTGGAGTCCTTTACTATTCTGAATGATGTTATGAGTGAGTGATGTAATTTCTTTATAGGCGTTAATAATATGTGATAACATTTGCCCAAAAAAAAAGATTGACCCTTTATACAAACTTCACCCAAAAAAATTAATGTCATAGTTAAAATAGTGAAAATAGTAAAAGTGGAAAATAAAATCAAAGAATTTCACCACATACAACAAGAGATCCCCCTGCTAACAATTCCAACAATTAGTTTTGAGGACAAATTCCAACACAAAGCAGAATGTGTCACCAAATCTCCAAATACTAGAATAATGCATAAATAGATATCCTCGAGGAAAAGAGACCTAAACTCATCCATCTCACAAGAGGCAAGGGACAGAGACACTTTAATTCCACTTTCTTCATCTCTTGCTTCTGCAAGACCAATCCCTCCATCGTTATCAATGGAGACCACCTCCACTCTCATCGGCCGTCCCCATCCAAAATCCTTCTCATATAACCCGAACCTTGGTGAGCCTGCCATCGACATGAATCCCGATGCCACCTCGAATCACCCATGTATCAGCACCTTTCAATGGATCCCATGTATCAGCACTTTTCGATGGATCCTCTCTCGCTTCGTGAATAGCGCTTTGTAAAGCCTCTAATCCCCATACCAACCCCTCCTCCCCTTTCAAATCTTTCCATTTACCGAATAAAAAACAGGGTCTAACACAATTTCCTCTGGCATCTTCGGCCTTACATGTGAACGACAATCGACAGGAAAAGTGAATCCCATTTCAGATTCATCTCTCAGTTGCTTGGCTTTTGCTGTGCACACCCAAATATGAGCACACCCCACCACGAATGTTGAGTAAAAGGTTCGACCTTCAGCCTCATTACGCATCGCACGTTTCTTCAACCGTACAATGCTTTCTTTATCTATGATGAATGTTGTGGTTACTAGATCACTTGGTTTCAAAAACTTCGGAGCTGGAAATCCTTCCTTTGAGATCGAAAAGTTATTCATGTAGAGCGTGCTGATGCCTCCGGGATCACAGAGCACAGAGAGGTCATGGCAAGGTTGGCAAGATCGGTCACCTGACTTATGGATCTCAGCCCATGCCTCGACAAAATTAGTAAAGCTTTTGCCATCAGCCACTCCATGATGGAAAGATATTCCTATGCATAAGCCACCATTAGGAAATCTTGTGGCTTGCACCGACAATAGAGGTGCTGGGAAGTTATGGACCAACAAAGGTGGGACTAGCGACAGAAAGATGTTTGTGTTGTGCACACTGCTTCTTGTTAGAGCTTCGTAATCAGCTTCAGCTTCAGCTTCAGCTTCAGCTACATGGAATGCCACCCCATCTATGTGATCATACTGTATTTCCAACAGGCCGGAAGTCTCTGACAACACAAGTTTCCCAGTGTGAGGGTAAAAGTATCGGAGGGTCAAGGATAGGGATTCCTTCAGCTTCACTATCACGTCTGAGAAGTCGGTTTTTTGATCGAGTGGATCATCGGTTTTTTGTTCGAGTGGATCATAGAAGAAGATCCTCTGAACTGGGGAAAAGACCAACCAGAGGATGTCCAAGAATGTGAGAACTTCTGGTGAATTGGGCAAAGAATTTGGAGGGGGTAATACAGGAAAAATGTTGAAAATTTTTACAAGTGTTGACATGGTTGAGGGTGTAAACTAGGCTAATTATTCGTGGCACCAAGTTTTCAAGCAAATGCTATGGATTTCATAGAAGAGAAATGCATGGCAGCCACAAATTATTTTGAAAGATAAGAGACTGACGAGAACAAACCACACCATGAATGGATAGTAGACCATGGTAGAAAGTTAATGGATAGAATAAAGAAAAAAATATGAAAATTAATGGATAGAAAGAAAATAAGTCTAGTAGTAAAGGTAAATTTCAACGGGCTATTATAAGAAGAGCAGGTATAGCATACTCCTGCACGAACACACGAGCTCTTCTTCCTTCAAAACAAGAGCTACTTAAGAGAAGTTTCATTCGACCTAAAATTTGGATCCACTTTAGACCACTGGATGAGTATTGAATTCCTAAATTGATTGGACTGTTGGAAATCTATTTAATTTCTGGTTGTAGTTTTTTTTGGCATGTATAGGGTGCCTATGAAAATTTTCGCCTTGTTTTATGGGTTTCTTGGTTGAGATGACATCCCAAAGTTTGGAGTTCTCAAGAAAGTATCCCAAGATATGGTGTTAATCGAGTGAAAGGGCAACGCATATAATTCTTGTGGTATGGATTCCTAACCACAATCCTCATAACAACAAGGACTTACAGCCATGTGGGTCATCACCGTCCAATTAGATGGTTTGGAAACTACATACAGCCATGTGGGTCATCACCGTCCAATTAGATGGTTTGGAAACTGAGAGGCAACTCAACAGAACATGAGATTATTTTCCCCTTCTCCCAATGAAATAGATTCTATGTACCGCCTACCCAGATATAAAATATATATATGAGTTGTGTTCTTAGTAGAGTATAAATAGGTGGGTGTGACAGCTTCAATAAATGGTTTTATTTTTCATATTTTTCTACATATCATCTCTGCACAAAATTCGAGGTATTGCAAGGGCACACAAGCAAAATAAATAAATAAACAACATTGAAAAAATGATCAAAATATCCCCACATTATACAACGGTATTTTTTCTAACTTGTATTATAAAAAATGTTTTCTTACTTTTATTAGAAGCACCCCAAATCGAGGGGGCGTGCCCCAAATTTCATCTCAAAGTGAGTTGTTAAAAATAAAAATAGAAATCAAATACTTTTCCTCATCAAATCAAGATCAAACAACTAGATAAGTCGTTAAAAATAAAAATAAAAATCAAATACCATCAATCATCCAATCAAGATCAAACAACTAGAAGCTCGTAAAAACATCATCCAAAGCTATCACAATGGCTGATCTGATCCGGCAGCTTATAACTACAAGCATGAATATTTTACGTCGCAAGGGGGGGGGGAGTGGAGAAGAAATGTTCAAATATTTGAATAAAGCATTCTTCCCCCCCTCAGCTTTGGCTGAGTTGAAAAGGCGATTTTCTCTATCTAGCACCTCCTTCTTGGTTTTTTGTACGGTCAAGGTTTTTTGTGTAAGAAAGTGAGCTTTCAGCAAAAGGACACGGTGGTTTCTATGAGTCCCTGTAGAAATGAGTAGACTCTTGAAAATCTATTTTTGTGATGGATTTCCAGACCGAATTTTTAAAGCCATGTTATATATTACATGGAGATCATGAATATAAATAAATTTTCAAAAATAAAAATAATGATTTTATGAAAAAAAGATTACATGGAGATCATGAATATAAATAAATTTTCAAAAATAAAAATAATGATTTTATGAAAAAAAGATTTAGACCATTGGTTTCAATTATTTTTAGATGGACCACCTATTTGTATCCATCTTTAAGATAGATTCTTTATACTATGGGACAAATGCAGTCCAGCCCACATGAAATAATTTTCCTTAAGCAAAAGATGTGTCGGTGATTTATTATGTTGGATACAATACTTGGGAAATTATCTGGTCAGCCTAGGAATTAACCTTTCTTAACCATCCATCTGATACTGATTGGATGGATCAGACCATCTGATACTCATTGGATGGATCGGACGACACGAGATAGAGTGCATCTCCCTCTCTCTCTCTAGATATCCTGAAGCTATCATTCAGGTTTCGGCATTGGTGTATTCATCCAAATCTGACATTTTTAACTTAGATACTAGCTTTTTCACCTATTACCATCAATCTGGTTCGAGAACTTAAGAAGTTTTGTATACCTCAAAAAAACTAAAGAAGTTTTGTAATCACAGTATCCAAAAAAGATTTAAAGATCCAGAAAACTCATTGTCCCATTGCAAAGGGAAGCCCTCACTTCATCTTTTGCTCAGTGAACAGGACATGACGGTTAACACGGGGATCATACTTGCGAAACTCGAGCTTCTCTGTGAGTTTGCGGGGGTTCTTGCGCTTCACATAAAAGAACCCAGTACCAGCAGCTGAAACCAACCTGATGAAAATGGAACCACCTTTCGCCTTACCCATGCTTTATTAACAGTCCTGCAGTAAATCATATATCGTATCAAGGCAATGGTGAAGAAGGATGAGAGTACGGAAGATAGAAACACTCCAAAATCACATTTTCAAATTAGAATTTCTTTTTCAAGGTTAACCCTAAAAATGAAATTCAATGCAACAAAAAATCCACCAAAGGAATTGTCAACAGCAAAATCTGGATAATGCTATTGCCGAAGCTTTAGACTAGTTATTAGGTTCAGATGTTAATAGTAGACATCAGAAGCCAAACTCAGATCGTACTCTTCTCAGATGCTACCAGTTCAACCCACAACTGATGAGGTTTATATTAGGTTCATATACATTTTCCAACTATCTTAGACATAATATTGAAACTGACAAACATCAATGCACAAAAAACTAATGCTCGCCATGTCTTTCTGTTTACTGAGTAAACTCAAGGTCACAGTCATCCTCCCATCCTCCATGCAATCCTATGGCTGTTAATATGATGTCCTCTCAAATGATTTCACGAGCAACTAAGGCAAACCAAGTGATCTACTTTGGAAATTCATCCTCTTAATGGAACTTATTCCTATGATCAAGCTAAATGGAAGAAATCCCTTTTAGAACAGAGAATCGCTTCTATGCATTAATTGTTGTGTTCCAGTTAATACCTATCATATAAAATGCCCACATTTACCTACTTTGCAAGCTACAAATATCCTTTTGGTATATTCCAAACTATCAACTTAACTTTTATCCCAATTCTCGAGTAGTAACTGAATGATAATAAAATATATGACGAATGATAATAGACATATGATAAATTGCATACATGTCTCTCCAAAATTGTTTCTAGTTCTTGTCCATCTCCCAAATAATGCCTCCATCCTCTGTCATGCAAGGAAAGATGATTTAGATGGCAAAAATTCTTGACCCAAATCTGAGAAGCGCCCCAAAAGTTTAAATTGCAATTCATCTAACTCTCAACACAAGGGAAAGTGTAACATACACATAATTTATATGTTTTATGAAACACAAGCAAGGCATCCACTACCCATCCTAAAGATGAATGGTGTATTTGAATCACACATTAGAAATGATAAACATTCAGGCAGAAGTGTGCTTCATCTCCACCATCCCTCTTGGGAATGGACGGGTGGATAACTCCCCTGCACATCTTATAGCGTAGACATCATGTGTACGCTATTCTCAACCCAAAAATAATACCACATGAATAGGGATTGAGCAATATATAAAGCACCTTGCACTTTCTTGTTGATCCATAATTCAACCAACATCCCGGCGCCAATTCCTGCTGCCCCAATTGCCCCATAAAGGGCAATAGTTGTGGGGATGGATCTACGTGGGAGAAAGTAGTAATCGGGAGCCTGCCTAACCTTTCTAGGAAGACGTTTTTTTATAGGTTGCCCATCTGAGACATTCCCCAAAGCTTTCCAATCCAAGGTCTTCAATAAATCTCTGTTTTCTTCCATTGAAAATTTGCTTATGACTCTATAAAATATGAGTTTGCGATCACAAGTCAACCACAATGAATGTGAAAAAGTTGCAAAAGGTGCAAATTTTATAATTATATCAGAAATATTGATATACATAATGTAAGCAATCCAGATAAGGACCAAGGCCAGATTATAAATGCAATTGCCTCAATTATAAAAACAACCTAGTTACTTCACAACATCATGAAACACCACTCAGCCCCTCACCATTGAGTCCACCGATTAGCTACACTAGGTTACATATCTAAGATAATGGGTACAAAGCAGGTGTCATTTAATGCATATTGATCTCAAATCCTACAGACAAAACTTTTAAGGAGAAAGCAATAAGGTTCTTTGCTATATAAGGAGTTTGTTTTGGATCATGCATTCCTTTTGTTTTGTTATCAAGAAATAGACTGATTCTTAAGGTAATAAAAAGAATTGGAATATAGTAGTGAAAAATTAAGAACTTATAATGTGGAATGGGAGGTGAAGTAGACAGCAAAACAGATTACTAAACCCAAATAAAACCCTAAATAAAGCTATTGTGAAAGTGTAAGAGAACTGTTGAATGCAAACACCATCAATTACATTTCTTATGTAAAATGCACAGAGAAATTCTGACCAACATTTCCCCAGTAATGTAACATGGAATAACATCATCATCTTCATTATAGAAAACAAGATTATTGAATAACCAGCAACATGTTACTAAAAGCATCTCCACAAAGTTACAAGAAGTTACAGCTTCTCAATCACAACAATTAAAAAATGAAGATCAGTTAACTTGATATACAAGTCATGTGTAAATCAATTTCTCATGTTTTGTTGGCGAAATATATCTTGATCTTATTAAAGGCCACTCTTATTCTTCAGTGACTAATTAAAAGGCCAGGCAATATTTTACAAGGAAAAAAAAATGGAAAATTAGAAGGCATGAGTAGCCCACAAATGTAAGAATCCTGGGCATTTTCTCAGAACTTAAGCAGCCATTTCCAATGTTATCTTCACTATACCAATGGGGTATCAAAGCAAAGGCTCATAGAAGTAGGCGTCTTCCATGGAATGATGGGTATTTAATAGTCTGCCTTACACATATTGCAGAAGAAAAATATTAAAATGGCCTGAAATGGTTTAAGTTAAAATAGGAAGACTATTTGAGAAGCGTAGCCCTAACAAATGAATATCTCATTTGAAAAGCATCAAACAACAAATGGGCTGGCTGACTACTAAAAATCTGATAAATAAAACAAAGATATCCTCATAGAAATCAAGATTGAAACCAAGTGTTGCAAGAGGTGAATGTCAAACTTGTTAAAAACATGTACAGTCCAATACATCTTATTTTTATGCACCAAAAAGGCTTCATCTCTACTTCTGATTGATGGAATTGGAAGAAACCGAACAAACTATCAGGTTGCGAAACTATCAAAATCACAAGCTTAAAAAGCATAACTCTATGAATTCATCAAATATCCATTCTAAGTTTCAAAAAAAAAAAAAAAATACATTCTAAAACCTTAAGTGACATTACAATTTCAATTTGAAAACAAATAGAGAAGCAAGCATAGGAAAAAAAAAGCATAATCATTTCATTGGAACCACAGTTAGCAAATCACCATTTAATCGCCGATTTTTTCAAAAAATTGGTATTTTTATGGAAACAGTTTTAATCGACAACTTTTTGAAAAGGTCGACAAAAAATGGCGTAGTTTTCATAAAAACGTTTAAAACGCATTTTTTTCATAATATGGTTTAAATCAGGCCAAAAAATCGTATAATTTTTTTTTTAAAGATATTTTTTTTTTCCCTGTTTTGTGTATTGCAGCCTTTGCTACTTTCATGCTTTTGAAAAAAAAATATTATTTCAAAAAAAAAACCTAAAATAGAAATTTTTATCCCCACTGTGTTCTTCAAAGCCACAGTTGCAGATTGAATTTTTTTTCCCTCTTCTTAAAAAAAAAACTTAAGCAAATAGATGCAGATTTCAGTTGTTATTATGGAAAATCATTGTGTAAATGAAATGCTGTTTATAGCAAATCATTTTGTAAAGTAAATCATTGTGTAAAGAAAATTATATACATGCAGATTTCTGTGATTATTTGCGATAATTGTTTTTATGAAAACACTGTTTATGGCACAAATTAGAGTTCAAATGAGAAGCAGAGAGTGTGATACAAGACCAAGTAATCAATATTTTGTTTTTGATTGTGTGATAACAAAGATAAACATTATAGTGTAAACTGTAAACTTATAGGAGCAAGCAAAGATTAGTTCCCCAAACCTAATCCTTCAGCTCTGCTTGAAGTTTCCCCAAGAAAATGAAAAACCCACTTCCTTTTCTCTCTCTAAAAATCAGTTAGGGCCTCCTCACAAATCAGTATAGTTAGGGCTTAGAAAAACCCTCTTCAAACTATCCCAAATCAGCATCCCATCTTCCTTTTCTCTCTCTAAAAATCAGTTAGCGCCTATTCGATTATGGTTTGTGAAGCCGATGATCTCTTCCTTCTTCCTTCTTCTCTCTATAAGCCCTAAACCCTTCCTTCTTCTCTCTATAAGCCCTAAACCCTTCCTTCTTCCTTCTTCTCTCTATAAACCCTAAACCCTAATGGCTATGAGCCCAGCCCTTTTTTCTTCTCTTCCTTCTTCCTTCTTTTCTCTCTAAACCGTAAAAACTGAGATGTGCAACCCAAATTTCTACGAGCCTCTTTTCAGTTAAAGAAATTTATAAAACTTGAACCCTATTATGGAGTGACCATGGTCACTATACCATAGTTAAATCAATGTAATGAGAAAACAAAAGAGAAAATATCCTATTATCCCATATTTTTAAGATCTATATCTCATCAGACCTAATAATTAAAAATATTACTTTTCTATATCTCATCAGACCCAAGAATTGAAAATATTACTTGTAAGCAAAAGGACTCCATTTTTTCTATCTTTCAACCCTTT